CATATTGTCCACTCCGAGGCGATCCCGTCTGATGTCAGCCTTATGACAGCACTTGAGCCTGAGAACGGATGTTCTTGTGCCGAGGTCTATATCTTTCTTATACTTTGTGATCAAACGCGGGCGCTTGGTTCCTCCTAATACCTGCTGACTACCCTAGCCTGTTAGTCATGGCACTATCACTCCCCTCAGCCTACTTCATTGCTTTGGGGCTTGAAATTCTTCTAAATGGTGCCGTTAAATTCTCTCGCAGTTCGGTACAGCTAATCGCCGATATAATAGGAATGTACACTAGCCTTTTCATCGCCTCGATGTATCTTCTATTGTGAGCGGCATGTCTGGCCTAATCATGACGATCGCTCATAGTATGTTGTAGAATGAAGAAGAAAAAGACAAAGGTCATCATGGCTATGACCATTTTGAATTGTATCATGTGGGCGGTAGCGACGTCCCATATGTCCGTCAGCTTTGAACAGAACTACTTTGCTTTTTTGAAGCAACATGCCGCAGAAGGTGGCGATGTCTTCGAAGACAATGCCTCCCCGACGATTTATTCGCAGCTATCTTTGGAGTCGATCAATGTGAGTGGATGATATTAACCACGAGCTCGCTGTCTGTACTTACACTTTGATTGTAGATTGTGATTGGCGACAGTATCGTGATATGGAGAGCATGGACTTTATGGAGTCGAAAGACCTGGGTGATAATAACATCGGCGACACTTCTTACGGGCACAGCAGGTGGATAGTCATTTTTTTGTCCCTCAAAAATGCATACGCTAACAAGCGCGAATTCTTAAGCGGCTGCCGTGGGACTTGTTAGAGCATTTGCGACCGCTCCTCCGGGGATCAGTGTCTTCAATAACCCCAGTCTAAGTTCGTGGGCAATAGCCTTCATCGTCTCTACGCTGGTAACGAACGTCTGGGCCACTTCTCTCGTAGCTTATCGTACTTGGTACGTAGGTAGTTTTCTTCAAGTTACTTGGCTAATTCTGGAATCAATGCAAGGTCACATAGCAGGATAATCCGTGAAATCACAGGAGAGGGCCTCATGGATAGATTTCGTAGGCAGAACGGTGTTATGGCCATACTTATCGAGTCAGGCGTTTTTTATTCTACCACCTGGGTACGTCTGTCCTCTTCTTGCGCAATTAATTGCAGAAGAATTGAATAAGCGACAGTTTATTGCGATCATCGCCTTTATCTGCGGGAACAATGGAGTCTACATCGTAGTAGATATGCTTTCGCAGCTCACGGTAATCTTCGCATCGAAATATTCAATCAACGTGACGCTCACTTTCTGTCTATAGGCCATCTACCCCACTCTGATCATCACTCTCGTTTGCCTACAATCTACCCTTGAGGTTGCTATATCGACATTCGACCAGACAACACAGACCAATCCAGAATGGGCCGCAAGAAGTGCCTTCCGACGCAGGAGACGCAACGGACCAAGCATAGTCACGGGCACATCAATGGCCTATCCGATGCAACCTATGAAAATCGGAATGCAAACCACGACTCACACATCTACCAGTGGGCAACCAGACTTCGGAAGTACAGCTGAGGAACTCGCGGTTGATGGGAAACCTCGAAGTCTTTCTGGTGATACCGGTGGGGATGATGGTGATAAGAACATGTCGCATGCTGTCTAAACGCATAATTTGCGTTCTCTTGGGAAATTGATAGAATTACTTAGTTAACTCCACATGTCTTTCTGTATTCATGACTGTATTTGAATGGAAGCTTCTTTGATACGATATACTTTTCGGTTCCTGACTCCTGATACATTGCGTACTATTTATTGCCTATAAATTGGGATTTCGTTTCACGCCTTGGAAGTTGGAATAGAATTCAGGCTCAGCCAGTGAACTAAAGAGCGCATTGTGCACGTGCAAGGGGGGCGCAACCTTTACGCTATCTAATTCAAAAGCCGGTTATAATCGCATGTTCGACTTTTGCTTCCGTCAGCTACGGATAGGTGCTATCCATTTAATTGTTCAAGGCGTAACTTCACTGAATAATGCCCGGAGCTCTAACCTCGGCCAAGAAAAAAGGGTTGCAACTAGAACCCCTGAATTCATTCTAATGGCCGTATCAAAGATCCAGGTGCCGCGCTCATCCAGGACCTAAACACAAAATGCCGCCTTGGCAGTTTGTTCCTGCTAGATCATGATGACGGATGGAAGGTGCAATAAGGAGTAAATATCGTAAAAATAGCGCTTATCACGATACCGATGGCCAAGCATGACCTTTCCAAAGTTAGGCCCAACAAGTCATGTAGGAGCAATATACTACACTGCATCATGATATTTAGACGGAAAGAAATTAGCATACGGCGGCAATCACCTGGCTAGAATCAGCCATCGCAACGAATGTAATGTGCTTGTGTTAGAGTAGCTATCAATATTCACAATCTGTAAAGGTCCCGAAACAGACTGGTACTCAGGAGGGATGGCAAAGAAAAAGGCTACGAAACGCGATCAACGAAACCCTGATAATCATTGTTTACGGGAGACGTGCGGTGCAGATTCCTATTAACTGCGTGTCTCCAGCCCCTTTGAGGGAAGATCCGGACGTGGAACTTACGATACGTATACGGTATTCATCAAATCAGGAAGTGCTCCGATTACCTCTCATCACTTGAAAAATGTTCATAGCGAAGCTCTTCGTATTCTAATAGAATCAGCAGATGCTCCATCAAATGTTGGGCGCTAACCGACTATTTTCCATAGCCACCGCGAACACGGCATTTTCCCCTGCTAGAAACTTTGAGAGGAGATGAGGTTATATTATAAATAAGGCTCCTAGAATATCCATGTTTCGCTATCCCATCGTCATGAATACCCCACTTGAAATCACACTGCAAACGAGCCTGGACAAGCGAGCTAAAATTGGAATGCCAGTGCTCGATCTTCTTCGCCCAGCAGTCTCCACCAACGTCCCCGACTTCTTCTCTAATGACTACCTCTCCATCACCACCAATCCTCAGCTGAACAGTAATATCCTCGGCGCGCTCATCCCAGCCAAGAAACTGCTTGGATCGACCGGTTCTCGTCTGCTCAACGGGAACAGCCCAAGCCATGCAGAGACGGAGAAATACCTCCAGTCCCACTTCAACGCCCCTGCAGCTCTCATGTTCACCTCCGGTTACGATGCCAACGTCGGGTTCTTCGGATGTGTACCCCAGGCAGAGGACATCATTGTCTTCGATGAACTCATCCACGCGTCAGTAAGGGACGGGATTGCTGCAGCGCGGACGCGTAACGCGTACCCCTTCTCCCACAACTCTGTCGCGTCTTTCGAGAACTGTATAGTCGAGCTCTTGAAGAAGCGACCGGACATTTTGGCTGGCAAATCGACAGTTTTTGTCGCGGTGGAAAGCTTGTACAGCATGGATGGAGATTTCTCTCCTTTACCGCAGATCATTGAGACTCTCCGTCGATATATACCGAAGGCGTATAGTCATATGGTTGTGGATGAGGCGCATACGACCGGATTGTATGGCCCGATGGGCCGGGGCTATGTGGAACAGTTAGGATTGCAGAACGAGGTCGATACGGTCCTTCATACGTTCGGAAAAGCCAGAGGCTTGACGGGAGGTAAGCCTCTTTTTCCCTCGAGTAGGCTCTAAGATGACCTGAACCATATTGTCAGCCGTAATTCTCACGTCGCCAATTATCCGGAAGTACCTTGTCAATTATGCTCGACCTTTGATCTACACGACGTCGATGCCCCATCTCCATCTCACAGCTATCAGAAGCACGTTCGAGTTCATTTCGGGAACTGAAGGCGACAGGGTGAGCGTTCCAGTCGTAACATTTATAATTTCAATGTTAAAAACTTACGTTATAGCTTCGGAAACAAGTTTACCATTGCAGCCAGTACTTCGCTACGAAACTTCGGCTTGCCCTAAAAGGCGTTCCAGAATCTGTTCTCTCTATGTGTGCGGCTGACAGAAGCAAAGACCCTCTCGTCTCACCAATATTCCCCTTGCTCACGAACCAGTCGCTGAACCTCGCAGAATATCTTAATTCAAAAGGATACGCCGCTCAGGCGATTCCTTTCCCTGTCGTACCGAGAGGCCAGGAGCGCATTCGAGTGGTGATCCATGCAGAAAACACCCTCAGCGATATCGACGTATTTATTGGTATCCTCCTCGACTGGGCGATGTCTCAATGGTATAAGAACGGTAAAGAAGTCGGAGCTATGTCAATGTCTGAACCTGGTCCGAGAGCAATGCTGTAAAGGACTGGCGCGGTGAAGATTAGGCTATCTTCAGGTGACAATGTATATATTCAGCTGGTGGCACCAAGTCAATAACCCTGAACATGTATCGCTGACAATAGGATACGACGTACCTCCTGTTATATTATGTAGACGATCTGGATAATGGTCTAATGGCGGCCTAGTCGGCATTTTGAACATCGAGTATTTCGGTCACGAGGTGGAGGAGTTGGGTTGCAGCGGCTCTGACACGCGGCATCACGGTCATTGGATACATTCCTCGAGTTTCTGGTCGTAAAACGTGGAGGAAATAATGTTACCTTCTTCGTTTCCAAGTCGCAGTAGGGCGGCAGTGGAACCGAGTTCAGAACAAGAATATCTAGTCCTGTGACAGTCCCTTCTATGTGGCAAGCCGATGATAGAAGGTCCTGGCTTTCTGAGTTTAAATTTGGCAGGCGCTACAGTTTTCGCTCGAAAAGGCTATGATCGAAAATTTACACGTGGCTTCCACCTGGCTTAAGCACCTACCGCGTTGACGCGACGCGTTCCAATCGTGTATCCACTGCCATGAACTATCGAAATCCCGATATCGACATTCCCTACGCCGTAAATATCCTTCGACATCACGTCCCTGACCATCTCCTTGGCGTTGCCGAATTCTTTCTCACAGATGCTGATGGACTACTCTGCTCCCTTCCTGACGCATTTTGGACTTCCCTAACGTCAACTCAGCATTGCATTGCCTTGCGAGCGTCTCTTCTGTCGTATTTTGTCTCTAATGGGCGCATAATTCCGCGGCAGTTTCAACTGGAAGCGACGATTGCTATGATGGAATTACGCGATTCTTTGATTGATGTCGGAACTGGTTATGGCAAGACTCTCTGTATGATCCTCCCTCAGCTTCTCGATCCGGAAGGAATCTCCATCAACATATCTCCTCTTAAACGACTACAGACCGTGCAGGCTGCCGACTTTCTGACGTGGGGAATCCGGGCACTTTGCATCAACGAAGATACCCCAAATGACAATAAACTATGGAGTGTGAGATATTCTAATCCAACGCTTAGCTTAGTACTCATCCTTAGTGTCTAGAGCATTAGGAATGGTGACTTTAAGTTCCTCATTGTGTCTCCCGAGCAGTTTCAAGCAATTGAAGGCAAGTATCCGCGACTCGCTCGGATGCTCCGCGAGACGAAGTCATCTCCCTTGATTCAATCAATTAAACGTGTCTTTGTCGACGAAGCGTATAACATACACACGGCTGGGCTTGATCTGCATGGTATACCAGCATTCCGTCCAGCATATGCACGACTCGATGCTCTGCGTATCAAGTTATCTTCGTCTGTTCCGTTTCAAGCGCTATCTGGAACTCAGCCGCCGGGAGGTATAGTTGGTGTCGGCACTGCATTGAAAATTGCCGGCTCGCTTTTCCGTCGTCTGACCGCCCGAGAACGAGGAATAATTACGGAGGGAGTATCTTGTTCAGTGGGGTTATCTTCCATGATATTTGTCTGACCATGCGAGTCGTGAGATGGCGGTATTCAACACAAAATAACGAGCAATGAGCGTCGCATCTAGTGTTGTGAAAGGCCGGGCTTCAAGCCTCAAGCCCGGCCCAGCCCAGCCCGGCCCAGCCCTGAAAAGCCCGGCCTGCAAGTAAGGCTTGCTTAAGGCTCGGGCTGAGGCTTTGTTTAAGGAAAGCCTTAAGCCCTAGGCCGAAGCCCTGGGCTGGTGAAGGGGTGAATATCCTTTTGTGGGATCGATTTCTATGAATGTAACATAGCTTAGTATTATCCTGTAGATGAGCTTACCATGTCTTTTCATTAGAACTTGATTGTATGCAATTATTCATGAATTGAAAGCAGTTATGACATCACTGACATATGTTTTCTCCATGATGACAAGACCACTTGAGCAATGATAGCTTCGTGGATGATCAGTGTGGTTCAGTAAATAATATATTAGACTATGTAAAGCTATATCTTAATGAATATTCACATCTAATGAGTCCTGATAGGCAGAAATGTATTATGAGGGATAAGCCCGGGCTTAAGCCCGAGCCCGGCCTGAGCCTTGTAGGGCTTGGGCTCAGGGCTCGGGCTCGTAAATTTGCGAGCCTGAACCTGCTCAAGCCCGGCCCAAGCCTCCAAAGCCCGGCCCGGCCCGGCCTTTCACAACACTAGTCGCATCAAATCTGGCAAATCTGCCACGCGTGTGACCCACGTGTAAAATTTCGATCATAGCCTTTTCGAGCGATTTCTGTAACGCCTGCCAAATTTAAACTCAGAAAGACCAGACTGTATATCGACAGCTTGCTTCATATACAGGATGGTAACGAGACTATCCTCGGTCGAGCGCCGCGGCATAGGCACGTGATGTTGTGAACGCAGACTTCGCCGACGAAATAAATTATAAATATAATTCCTCTCTTGCTGATACCACCACCACCACCGTCACCTTGTTCGATGAGCAAGGTGAAATCATGGTTCTATGCCGTTAAAATTGGAAGGACAAAGGGAATTTATTCTTCATGGTGTGTGTGTATCGCTTCTTTTTCAACGATTTTCTTGCTTAGCATGACCTTTTTCTGCAGGAATGACTGCCAGCTTCAGACGAATGGATTTCCTGGTAGCAAGTACAAGAAATTCGCATCGAAACAAGATGCCGAAGAATATATCGTGTCTGCTCACAACCTTGCAGCCGTCACTCACAGTGTTTTCTTGAAGAAATCAGCTGGATACTATGCCGTGAAAGTTGGGAGGAATAAGGGTATCTACACGACATGGTACGTCCAATGATCTTCTCAAAGGGAATGGAACTCCAATGTAATGTGTGCAGGACAGAATGTCAACGGCAGATCTCAAGATTTTCAGGATGCAAGTACAAGAAATTCCCCACGAGGAGAGAAGCAGAAGATTACATTGGACTAGGCGCAGTATCGAGGGTACGACCAGCTAGCGATGCCGCCACTGTCTATTGCGACGGTGCCTGTAGGAGGAACGGTAAGGCTGGCGCTATCGCTGGCGTAGGCGTTTGGTGGAGCCATAGTGATTCACGGTAAGTAGACTATTATCTATCGAACGGCTCTGATAGAATTTTATATCGTAGCAACGTCTCAGAACGTTGTCCTGGGAGGCAATCCAATAACCGGGCAGAACTCATCGTCAGTAGAGAAAACTTTCGTTTACTTGAATCGATTTCACTGACTCGTTCGGTAGGCCCTGGTACGTGTTCACGAGCAAACGATGGACATGACGACCCCCCTCACCATCAAGACCGACTCAAAGTACGCCATCAACTGTACGGTAGTCCTATTTCCCCCTTTGCCACCCTCATCCTCATCCGTCTTTTTAGGCATGGAAACGTGGCTGCGCACTTGGCAGCTAAATGGTTTTATGGGGAGCAAGCGCAAACCCATCGAGAATGAGCCAATTATTCGGTACCTTGCGAAGCTCCGAGAGAGGGCGCGGCGCCTTGGGCGAAAGGTCGCTCTCGACTACGTTCCAGGGCATGTGGGTGTCGAAGGGAATGAGGAGGCAGATCGACATGCTACGGAAGGCACGTATCTCCCAGAGGTTAAGGAGCCGGACTGGGTCACGCTGAGGGAGGAACTGGAAGTGAAGATGAATGCGGAGCTGGCGGAGAGAAAGCGGAAGCTGCTATCGGTAGCTTGCTAGAGAGTGAGTTTTATTTTTCTGTATTCGCCGTTAACTGAAGCTGAAGTCCTCTTAGACAAAGTATAATATTTTCTTCGAGATTGCTTGGTAGTGACAAAAATTCTCATGGCAGTGCTGTGTAGGCTTCGGCATCACCCGCTGAGGACCACACCGATATCGATGCTGCGCTTTTAGCGCTTACCAGCTGCTAACCTTACTTGACATCCGTTGCCGCTTGGATACCAGTCTTCTCCACAGGCGCCTTGATGACGAGGCCTGTAACGCTTCCAGGCGTCGGTTGACCGGTCGTGTACACTTTGGGCGGGAGAAAGTAGTCTAGTTTCAGACTAGTGCTGGCAGCGGGCTTTGTCGTCTGACTCCATGGAATTGACACGTATTAGCTAACGGTCAGTCAGCAGCTGAATGCACATTTGAGGGGGAAAACGTGGGCTACGACAACTGCAACTTTTGCTGAAAGGTGAGGTCGATGCTTGCACTTTTCATCTCTCTGAAGCTCTCAACTCACAGATATTTGTTTCGGAATTATTCGGATCTCGGCCATTGCCTCCGACGGAGTGGACGGTTAATGTCGGACGATTGTTCGTATCCTATAACTTTTGAGTTTTAATACATGTATTCCCAGTGACTTGGCAGTTTTGGAGCGTCACTTGAACGACTAATTGTTTCAAGACTCGTCCAGCTCTTCTGGTCACAGGCTGTCGAGCGTGTATCGGCAAGGCTCCAGGCTCTAGGGAAGGATGCTCGAGCAGCACAAAAATATACGTCGGAGCCAAGCAACGTTGACAACAAACTCCTTCGCCTGCTTATTTCCGCAGAGGCGGTCCAGGAAGTTGCACAGTACTTCAATGATTGTTACTTATATTGAGGTTGCTGGTAACTGGTCAGTCATCAGTCTTCCTTAGTCGACCAGGTTACGAATTACAATGATTTTGTGGGTGAGAAAACGGTCTATTGGCTCCGCTCAAGTTAGCTCTGCATCCGAAGTCGACATGATTGGTTCTTGGTTGCGTTTTACCTAGCTATGCCCGCTCCCCGATGCACCGGAAAATCGTACAGCCCTTCGGCCCATAGACGAGGAGCCAATTTGTAATTTGGAGCTCGAAGTAGAAGATCCGCAGGTCCGGCAGATCTACCGCAGATTTCTCCAACTGAAGGTCATAAATCATAAATGGGCATTATTATTATGTAGGCAGCATGAGTACATAGGTCATAAGAGAAGGAAAAAAGATGACTGTGCTACAAAGTGATGCGTAAATAATTGCGGGTATAAGTTAACTAATGCGCGATGATTGAAGGATAAACTACGATATATGTGTGCGAGAGCTTTTGACAGAATGAAAAAACGAAAATGTTCGTGGGCGACATCCCAAATCACAGAATGTTCATAACCCAGATATCGTGGCCTTTGGAGCTAGGCGAAAGCCCAGCGAATCTCGTGCGACCCATGAAAAAGTCGATCCGCTTAACACCAGCCTTCTTCTCCTCGTACGACCCACTCCGGCTCTTTATGCGCCTGTATCTTTGTTCATAAGCCTCTGTCACCCTCCGCATTTCCGTTTTCGAGGGCAGCCCGTAGAACTCGGCAGGAGAGATGTTCTCCCGAAGCCCGTTGTACATTGCGTGGAGCACGTCGGAGACGGTGACATAGGTGCCGTTCAACAATGGACGAACAGAAATTCGCCAGGGAAGATAGGGAGACGTGAGCGTTAGCTGAGAAACTGGCGGTGAAATGGCAGGCTCATAGAGCGAGTGTGGTCTGGAGGAAAGGGTGGAGTAAGGTGTGGTTACGGTGGAAGGGTGGTTCGCGAGGTCGTAGTTGATTGCAGGGGGCTTCGCGACTGATAATAGCGAATGCACCTGTGGAATAACCCGTACTTTTGGTCGGGGAAGGGTGTATGGGGTCGGACCTGGAAGTCGCGACGATGAGCTTCTCGACGAGGGCAACGTCGAGGATGTTTTAGCGGGAGATGGTGTCGACGGCACCTTGTAGGTCTGGTCGAGGGCAAAGCGAACGTGTTTGCCAGGCATTGTAAGAGGGGGGAATGAACAAAGACTCCACTGGTACTAAGCTTTAAGTAGCCAAGTTTTTCATTGTTGACGCGTACTGACGTGACTTCCTAAGCAGTGTCCCGCCCAGAGCACAGCTCGATCGGACGTCCCTAAAAGGGACGTGCAGGCAAAGATACGCACTGTAATCATCTACACAGCCTTGTCAGCGCAGTGCTCCGGTACTAGATGACGTCTGACAAACACGTTCTGTGTTAGTCGGCCACCGCAATCCGAGATGCTAATGCAACCCAAGGTGGACAGTATGGCTACGGAACTGCGTTCCCACAGGTTAACACCGCGCGTAACCAAATCTCGCCCTTGCCAAATATGAGAAGCGAAGCATATAGGAGATCGCGGAAGGAGGACGGAATCTTTGGAGACCGAAAATATCAAACTGTCCATTCACTGGGAGGAGCGCTGGAGTTACCCCTGGACATGGAGACCTATCCTTGCCCGCCACAAGACCGACAATGTATGGGCACTTTAAGAAGGAGGGGACCATGGACGTGGGTTGGGTGATGGGACTAGATGCAAAAAAACTTT